GCTGAAACGTCATTTCAAAATTTATTTATTTATTTAAGGACAACCAACAAAGCATACACCAACATACATGATAGGTTTTTTAACATATTTTAAGTGACGTCACGCGACATTTCAAATCAATACATCGTCGAAAGTATTCGTAAAAAAAATAAAAATACGTGTGTAATGTTTTAAAATAATCTACCAGACGGACATTAAAATAAAAATAAGTCATCTACCCTATTGGAATTGGAAGTGTTCCATAGTTCCCCATCCATAGTCAACGTAAGCTCGCTCGCTGAAAAGTTTCCGCCACTTAACTTGTTGTGTGGCAACACCATTAATTATATTCAGACTTCCGAAAAGGAGATGATGTAGCTAAAAATATTCAAAAGCAATTATGAAGCTTTGACAATAAATGTTCTGATTCTGGTTATCAAACTTCTTGACACAAAATATAATCTACTTCAGAAAGACAGAAGAAACATGCACACGAACTTTTTGCATTTATAAAATTAGTAACATACAGTGTAAATAATACTGATCTGGGTATAATAAATAACATTTAGCAACAGTTTATCAATAATGCCGCAAGAATTGACTACATCAACAACAGTAACCAATAAAAGCATCGAAGCAAAATATTCCTTCCAAATTCAAATTATATTTTAAAATCTTAGCAGCCAGTCCGTACGTATCAATTTGCGTTCGCATTACAAGCGTTCAGCCTATAAAACCGATAACATCGTTATTATGTTCGAAATTCGAATGAAATTGTAACGTAAGCATTTAACGCCTTTAGCGATTGTTAGGAACTGCCACGAGGTGGCGCTGCCGGCCCGGAAGGCGGCAGGAAATAGCCACTAATGGCGGCCCAGCGGAAGCGCTGCCATTACGCCGCTAGTGCTGCTCAAATAATTACATAGACAGTGTTTATTTTGCAATATAGGTAAGTTTTGGATAAATATGGGGAGATAAATGGTTATTTTTGTAAAGGAAGATCGGTTCCAGATGATATATTTCTAAGGAACCCGTAGTATTAACACGCCACTTACTTAAATGTTGTTTTTTCTATAGTAATATAATTCATAATTGTTAGTCACATTTTTTGCCTTCATTTAGCTACCTGGCTACTAGTCTACCTGGCTGACTGACTTACTTGCCTTATTCATTTCTAAATATAAAAACGTATGTAATTCAAGTAAACAGAACATACAAGTCTAAACTCAAAACTGGAATAAGAAGCACACGTCATAAATAACGCTGACAATTTTCATTCTGTGCAAAGTTCGGAGCATTCCTAGGAAGTTGGACGATAAATCGCCAGGAAACCAAGTGAAAAACTGTCGTATCCCGACCGTAACGAGTTTCAAATTGGAAATCTAGTTACAACTTTAGGAGTCTGAAGTTTTGGACTTTGGACCTGAAGAAACGTCCAGCGTCGAGTCTATGGGTATCTACAGTTTACTTTTAAACCCTTTGATGGAAAAGTCCTTAATGAAAAAATTAGTACTTAGAATAAACATTGATTATGTTTTCAGTTGTTTGTAGACTCTCTCAATAGATTTTATAAAAAATAACAAAACTCTTAATACTTAAGTCATTTTATTTTGCGTGTAGCTAGCAAAATAATTTTAACATAATTATTACAATGATAAGTAGTAGTAGTTCACTGCTGTAAGCATTTAGCACTTAATACGTTAATAAATGCACAAAAAGTAGGTACGGATGACAATAATTAAAAGACTATCAGCTCCTAGTTTAGCATTCTACTCAGTAGCCTGCGATCACAGGCAGTTAATCACCCTGTGCATTAACCGCGTCTGTCATCGTAGCGACGCCATTGTTCTCAGAACTTCGCAATTTCCCCACACAACACTAACAATACGCTAATGCGAAACCGCCAAGTAGGTGCACAGATTAAAAAATCATCCAGGATAATAAAGAACTTATCGGCTGTGAGATCTGACGCCGGTGCCTAGCGAATGGAAAAAAAGTAAAAAAGGCGGGAATTTGATTCATAATGACATCAAACATGGCGGCACTGATTGCGATCTGAAAGGGAGATAAGAATGGGGTGGCTTTGTCTTGCGCTTGATTACTATTTATAGTGCTTGTAGCTGTAGTGGAAGTCTATATTTACTGGCCTTATACCTATAATAGTTTATGTACTACCTACTATTCACATTAACGACAATTGTTTGCTTTTGACATTTTCATTTTCTACACAAAATTTTCTTATTCTGCAACGGCTTAAAGAAGACACCCAAGAAACGGCTTCAGCTATAAACTGAAAAACACAATTTATACCGAAACGCACCCACAGAAATGTAAATACATCGAATCGTAACCGAATTGGTCAAAGGGTAAAAGGGAAATCACTGTCCATTTACCGAATTCGACGTTTTGTGACACGTTTCGGACGGACACAATATTTGCGTTCGAAAAATTCGAGAAGGTCGCATTCTTTAGGTGCACACTATAAAGGTCATTTTGGTAGCGAAAACTATTTTTGTGGGCGCAATCTTGTGTGTAGGTATTCGAACACAATATAAACTGTAATAAAATAAACCGTCCGCAATAATTTTTATTGTAAGAAGGGCCCTCGAATTATCATTTAGATGGGGTGGTTGGCAATATGGCGCGAATTCTGGTGCCGAGCAAAAAATAGATCGAGAATGAAACAGCCGACGCGTCAATTGAGTTACTGTTAGGGATGATCTTGTAAAGGGACTTTTTGGGGATTTTTGTAATTGCACCTATTTTATTGTAGAGGGTCTTTTGTTTATGGATGAGTGGTGTTGTGTTGTGGTAAAGATTTGTTCGCTTATTTCTTTGTTTAGAAGGAGAAACATACTTGTACAAAGATACATTATTTTATTCAAGTGGTTGGGATTTTTGCTTTAAGAGATTGTTGTTGTTTAAGATTTGTGTTTTAAATTAAGATTGTTTTGAACTAAACCTATACTGAAAGTAATTAATACTTCGAGCTGTGAGCTCTTACAGTATAGACTGGAAGTCAGTTACCTCCTGTACTATACTGCTGCCGCCGATACGTGTCGATGGCAGCAGTTGTCTTTGCCGTTGTCAACACGCAGGTTGTGTGTAAGAGCTTCATGATGTAATCTATCAGTTATGAGTTGATCGAACTTTTATATATTCATAACAAGCATAGAGTGTTAATACAAATATTAAATTTTAATCTAAACGTCGTCACCAACAAGTATTAATGACCAGCTCCCCACAAACATGTTATTCCCCTGAAACACATTAGTCGGAGCACGTTAGGGATTCGAATGCGGCCACATTCACAAGCGGTAGCGATTGAACTAACAACTATATGGTGATATTTTTATTTCTTTTTAACCGACTTCAAAAAAAGGAGGAGTTTCTCAATTCGACCGTATATATGCTTTAACCGTGACCGTACAAACCCACAACAAAATATAAAGTAGACAAAAGTCATAGCTGGTTTTTTTGAACGCAGTTTTTTAATTTTATTGAGGGATATTGTTCAGTTCATTAAATTCACTAATTTTGACACAGGTAGCTACGAATTTATTTTCAAATTCTTAAAACGGCAGCAGTAGTCTAAATAAACCCATTTAAGTAAGCAGTATTTAAATGATTTTATTTAGATTTATTCGTATGTTTGTTCGGGTCAAGTAAATGGAATATTACCTCATTCCTGATGACAGATTGATCTGATATTTGGTATACACTCTTAATCTTGGGGACCATACCTACTATATTATTATAATCTAATTTCACATTTCGTTATTAATTTTGGCCCCGCGGCCCGGTTTCCATCAAAGCAGAGATGAAAGGATACGACAAGAGATGTGCTGTGAAGCTAGCAGGTTATTTCTACAGGTAGCGGAGGAAATGTAGCGGAGAGGGTATGTCTAAATGACCATTCAAAACCAGTCTCCTCTCCTCTTCACTTTTTTGGAAACTGGGCCCAAGAGATATATCAAAAGAGTATGACAACAGTTCAATACAACTTCAATACCACAATGGAAGAAGAGCCCATTGCCTTACATCTGTTAGAACTTCAAACTTCGAGCTACTTATTAATGAGAATTTTAATATGAATACCGAACTACTCACTACCAGAAACTAAAAATCCTTGCTCGGTGGTCGTGCTTGCGACTCGACCAATGAAGCTAGTTAGTATAGGAACAATACAGTAGTAAAGATGGGAAATCGCTGTAAGCGCGCACCATGTCCTCTTGCCATAATGACACTGCGAAGCGGCGGCGTGGGCCGAGGGCCGCCAAATGGAAAGAGAATCAGCGCTGATAAATGATTTCGGTACAAATGTTATTTTGATCTTTTGCGATACCCACAGATTTGTTTTGGGGGCGTGCACGATTACAATACGTCTGCTACTCCTACTTTTTGATTGCATTTTGTTTTACTACATGGCAACATTGTTGTTAAATTTGTTTTCATGTGTTGCCAGTTCGATTTTCCGATATGATGGACTACCGAAGTACTTAGCCCCAAGGCTTTGAAGATTCGATTCCTATGTCGAGCAAAGAATTGTTGTTTTTTTTAGTTTTTCGGTGTCTGAAATTGTGCCCGGTATAATTGGCCTCATTCAATCAACATCTCCTAATACTTGCCTACTTAGGTACTGGTGAAATATGGGTGCTCCCTTATTTCAACGTTTACCTCTACCTAACCCAAGGAATAAAATGTTATGTTTATTAAATCACGTAAGACTAAATATGTGTTTTATTTCCTAAAAGTTAATGCCGTCTATGTGAGACAAGCTTAGTAATAACAAGATGTATTACAAAATAATTCTTTATTAATTAAATATCTCCCCAATGAAACAGAAATAAACAAACAAAAGATAACACTTAATGACCTTAAAACAATTCAATAAATTAAGAAAGACTACCTGAGTATAAATAGGGACAGACGACGTCATAAAATCGTATTCAACCGCTTTACAGCTAGCATAGCATGGCGAGTAACACAAGTCTCACATTGGAGTCCCGGTGTAATCCAAATTATGGTGTTTCTTCCAGGGCGGCCAGAGATTTCGGGTTCTTACCCTGAAAAAAAAAATTGCTTATTTAATTTTCTTTAATGCGTATATTAACCAAAAATCGCGAGTAAATATACTGAGAAAAGCTCTACTAGTTTCGAACCACAGAGGGGTTCTTGAGCAGTGTGCGCGGTCGCAGCGATGTCGCGCAGCCTACTACATTTTTAGTTAATTTAGTATGAACATGAAACAGGAGAAAATTTAAGTAATAAAAGTTCATCAAAATGCATTATGTCATTAATACAGTTTTTTATGAAAGAGGTCGGCAAACGAGCAAACGGTTCTTTATGGTAAGCAATCGGTGTCGCCCATGGATTCCCGTGACACCAGAAGAGCTACAAGTACGTTGTGTCTTTAGGAAACTGGGAATAGTGGGAATTTGGACCCACAGTGACCACATTGCCACCGTGCCGATCAGAATCATAAACAAACTAAATTGTGGAAACAAGAATGTTATGGCGTATATCAAATAATCACAATGTAATTATTTTCTCTTTAAAAAAACATGTATATCCAGATATGTAATGGTTTCTAATATGTACCCATTTGTGTCCCAACCAGGCTAGTGACGCGTTATGCAGGCGTGGACCCATGAGAGGATTCATTTGTGATATGTACATAGTTGTCCAGCTGAAACGAACATTGAATACAAGGTTATTTGTAAAACAACCTGACAAGCAAGAATGCATGTCTTTTCATCAATACGATACACCGTCTGACATTGGAATTACTCTTAACAATCAATTTCACGTCGCATATGCATCACACTCAGATACATAACAATTTGTAGATCCTTGTTCGTTCCTTTCGAGAGTTGAACTTACGACATGCAGCGAACGTAAACTAGGTACTTTTAAAGTTTATAAAGTTTATATTGTTTTAAAGTAAAGGATATAAAAATAATAACTATAATAATCAGCAAGGAGATATCCAATTGTGAACAAAGATCATGAACCTCACTAATGGTAGACGGCTCAGGTGTAGGTTGCCAAAAATATAGAGAAATAGAAACTTACAATATCCACATGCAGAATGCAGAGATCATGATACAACATCTTGTTATTCTGTAAGTAAATAAAATATCTGTTATTCACTTCCCTAGTTTGTCAAGCAATCATAATTATATGACCGCCAAACCTGGTGTACACCTTTTAAATTTGTTACCGGTGATATCTATCACAGAATCCAGGCTGAGAGTAACACGAGTAACATTTTTATCAACATGTTGATGATGATGAAAGCGTGAAAGTAAAAAGTAATACTAACCCACTATTGGGTCCTTTACGGACTAAAAGTGGTCCAATGATAAACATTGCACCAAAAAGAGCAGTTAGAACGAATATTGGTACATAGAATGTTTGGGGAGGCTGCTTCGGTGGGGCGGGTGTTGTTGTTACTGAACCGGGTGTTGTTGTAGTAGTATCTGGCTCTGGTGTTGTTGTAGTAGTTACTGGCTTTGGTGTATTGTCATCATCCTGACGCCTCATTTCTCTTTTCGCTATTTTCGCTTCTCACAGCAAAATTGACCTCAATCCTTAATATGATTAACTGTCAATTAAAAATTTCTTTCATTTCAATTGTTGTTTTTTCGTTTTCTATTTTGACGTGTGTTCTAAATCGAGTTTAGCTTCCATAAAAACTCTGTGGTGAAAATAGTTGGAACTTCACGGATGAATTTACCAGGTGAATTTACCCAGGTTTCACTGTAGGAATGTGAGATATTGTCGAATGAAAACTTGTGAAAAAGGTAGGCATTTTAATTTTTTGGTAGTGAATTTCTGTAGTCGCGGACACAATTAGTAGGTTTTTATTTATTTATTTATTTCTTTCCTTCTTTCTTTCTTTATTTATTTATTTATAATTCATGGAGGACTTACAGCTCATAAAAATGGATAAAAGTAACAATAGGCGTAGGTAACAATGAGCCAATAACAAGTCCTCACGTTTAGCATTTGAAATAAATTTATTTATATGGCGTGAGTACTATACAATTAAAAATACATACATTCTGCGTAAATAAAAAAGTTAAATATTAAAACAGACCGTGCAGACAATATGATTATAAACAGATCAAGAGAAACGATAAAAAATAACTATTATAAATATGTATTGCTGCTTAAAAAATGTGAGGTTTAAGCACCTCTTTGCCGAGTTCACACTAGCTGTAAATGTGTCTGCATGAAACATTGTTAAAGTGTCTGCTTGCACGCATAATGTAACTGTTCTGCCTGTAGTTAGATGAGGAACGGGATACGTGTAAAGGTGGATTAAATCTAAATATTTTATTAGGTACATTAAATTTGATTCTGGACTATCCACATTGCCGTTAAGAACCTTGACAAGATTAGACAATCTGCAATGTTGCGTCGATCTACCAATGGTAACAAATGAAATTTTCTACAGAGTTCAAGACATCCTCATCTTAATTACCCTAAGTTGCCCAGGTTAATAATTATTATTCTACTAGCTTCTACCCGCGGCTTTGCTCGCGTCACAAAAGAATAAAAGTAGCCTATGTGACATATACCAATACACACAGCGCCATCTATACCAATACTTTTGTTTTTCCTCAGGAATATCAATTTTTTCCGGGTTAAAAAGTATCCTATTATTTAATCCGGAATTCTACCTTTACGTCTGCAAAAATTCAAAGCAATCGGTTGAGTAGTTACGGCGTGAAGGTGGAATAAACAAACAAACTCACTTTCAGATTCATAATATTAGTAAGGAAGTAAGGATAGTTGTTTTTTTCGAGGTTGTAAGTTAAGGTTTAAGGACTAAGTAACATAAAATGTATAGACATAAGTAAGAATCATGTTTAAGTAAGTTAAGTAACGTCACGGTGCCGGTACCCGAGGCCGGATTGGAATCAGCGCTATCTGCCGATCGCAGATAGCACGAGAGCGGTGTATGCGCCCGCGCACCTATAATGACTCAATTATCCGCTTAGCGAGGGCGTGGCTCCGTACAGTATGTCTTCATTACAACCAAGCGCTCACCAAGTAGGGAGAAAGCTTTCATAATTAAACTAAACAAAGATCATGTACTTTTATTTTATATATGTGTTATCCTCTGTGCTGTTTTTGTACATAAATTATTAAATAAATAAACTACCTATTAAGGTTTTGCATTTGTGAGTCATTTGACATGACTGAATATACTATTATTATTTTGGTATGTTAGTAACAAAATGTTTAATAGTTAAGAAATAATTTACATATAGAGTCTGTATATGTCATTGTTACATTAAATGTATGTTACTATTACCTGTTTGAAGCACCTATGTTAATGTGGGACAGTCATCCAATGACTATCGTCCCACCTTGGGTGAAGATGCGTAAGTTTGTATGAAAGAGGCGATGCGACAAAATGTCCATACTATACATATTTCGCTCAGTATTTACAGTATCCAAAAGCCTTTTTCACTATAGCCCAACTTTAGGAACAGTCGTGTGCGCAGAGCACATCATAGTGCCTTATCTATTGTTACGGGGAAGTATAGCAAAGAATTTATTGGTAATATCGATGCGCACATTGATGGCCGTTTATGGTGCATTTCCCCGTTCCACGGACTCTATCGGCTCATCTCAGCCAGTTGACCCCAAGAGGTCATGAATTGATTTTTAAGTTTCTATTTTATGAGGAGATGTGGCTTATACAGTTATCTCAGAGATTTTCAGAAAGATTGACCTAATGGCTTGTTTGAAATTGTTCAAAGCAGGCTTTATTGATGCTGTTTTATTAAAAGGATTGTTATTTAGATTGTATCGGTCGTAAAGTTTTGTTTTAGTGGCCGTGTTGTTTTGTTGTTCATCAATTAGACCCATCTCTGTTATTCTATCCGTTTCTGATGAGACGTGACAAATACGTCTAGTTAATCTATATGCATAATGATAATAATTTCAATGTTTGATTTTGCCAGTGGCATTCAAACAAGTACTTAAGTATGGCCCCTTTTAATTTGAATAAATACACCAATCAAAACCTTAATGTTTATTAAAAATTATGCATCCCATTTGAGAGAAAGTCTTGAATGTGAGTAAATTTACTACTACATAATCTGCATAGCTACATATATTATTAAATGGATCCCAAGTCCTTTGAATACGAAATTCTCGTTTCATATTAATTTCCATTTTATCGGAAATCTTCACGGTCAGAGGACGACGATGTCTTTGCCTCCAGATATTATGGGCGGGCGTTTTGACAGCTGTCACTTTGACGGAGCGGGTCAAGCGACGACGCTCGCTTCAATTTCCGGAGGGTGTGACGTCGTTGCATGATTTGAATTTAATTTTGGAACGGCTCCGTCATCTATCGTCAAGACTTCGCTAATATTCATAGAAAAGAACTAGGTTTGTTATTATAAGAAGGCACCTAATAAAAAATAAAATGTTTCGTGAATTCTTCAACACATTTCCTACAATGAAACAAACTAGCTTAGCTATGCAGAACAGTTCCCGCAGAACCTCCCCAAAAATAAATAAAACAAAAGTCGCTAGAACATTTCCTTGAATACAAAATTCTATGCAGTAACATATGCAAGCGAGTTGTCATACATAGCGAGGCTGCAGCGACCCGGAACATAGCATGTGACTTCCTGGCTAAAATAAATCACGTGTGATTTATTTTTATTCGGTTGGCAACACTGAGCGTCGCATATATTCCCGCCCTGCAATGCCGTTACCATTCTTTATTTAAATTATTTTCGCGGCTATTTGGCCAGGACGTGCCTAGCGTATTTTTTATCTGTATTAACTCGGCTGAGCGTTTATGAACGGAATTTATTTAAATTGTTTTATTTATTCGCGTTTGTATTGGGATCTGTTGGTGCATCGCATATTCGTGCAGTACCTATATGAATTTATTGTTTATGTTTATTTCGCAGAAAATAATTTTTCAATAGGAATTGTTGAAATTATACTTTGGGATTACTTATGATTTTTTACAGTTGTATGTTATAGTTTCACAGTACATATCTAAAAAGATATCGTATAATTCTATTATAGAGTAGCTGTTGCCCGCGGCTTAGGGCATTTAGGGCAATTAATAACTTTATTGTATTTCTATTTTCCAAAATAAAAGTAGCCCATATTACTCCTCAGTACACCAGCTACCTGCCAGTAGTAAATCGGTCAGAATCGGTCCAGCTGTTTCAACAAATGACAGAAAAACATTTTAAGTAATGTTGTTTTGGTATGTGTATCGTATGTATATAAATGTATGTAGTAAAATAAATATGTATTGTATGTAGTAAAAGCAGTTAGGTATTTAAATATCACAAACAGACATTCCAAATTTATTTATCTGTGTAGATTATTTATTTAGACTTTTATTTAGACTGAGACTGACTTTATTTGAGATTATTTAGACTGCCTCGTTGGCCGAGTGATCGCAAGTGGGTCTCGGGTTCGTTTCCGGGTAGGGCAAAGTACTACTGGGTTTAAAAAAATCTCAGTAGTAAAGATCGAAGGCTGGAAATATGCCCGATATATGGCAATAGGCTCACCTCCTATTACATGGGACTCGTAATATAAATACTGAAAAGTCGGTGTTACATTGTACAGTGGCATTAAGTGCTCCTCTGCCTCCTCCTTCAAGGATAAAAAGGCATTATATTATGTTATGTTATTATTTATTTTCATACATTTCAATGTTTTGTCAGTGTAATTTTTCCTGTATTTTATAGGTTTAATTACAATCTCCCTTCGCAAAGACAGGGCTCCGGCTTGAAGTGCAGGAGTAGGAAGGGGTAGTTTTGAGTCAGTAAGAGTCTGACACTCCCTGAAAAATTATCAAATGTCTTCTTGGGCCTCACCCAGGCGGGACATGACATTCGATGATTTTCCCACATTAAAAAAAACGGTCTAATAGATTTAAAAAAAAATGTTGCACTAGGATTTTCTCCTGTGTCGTGGGTGCGTTTACAAACATACAAGTTGGTTGGCTGGTAGAGAATGCCATTCGGCATTAAGTCCGCCATTGCATGTATTTGTACATTACGTGTTAAATAAATAAAAAAAACAAGTTCACATACACATGACACCCAGACCCGGAACAACAATCTGTGGATCACACAAAGAATTGTTCCTTACGGGAATCGTACCCGCGACACGTTGCGCGGCCAGTTGCCCAGCCAACGCGCCAACCGTGCAGTTTGATTTTTTAGTGTAGTTGATAGCTTACATAGGGCATTAGCTAGTGTAACTTACAGTTTTACCCTTCTCTGTCGACCGATAATACATATTTGTCAATCCCGATTAGCCTCCCCTTCCCCAATCTCCCCAATTCCTGAATCCCCAACGATCCTCAAACTCCTAATCCCCAAAAGGCCGGTAACGCACTTGTAACGCCTCTGGTGTTCCAGGTGTCCATGGGCGACGCCGATTGCTTACCATCAGGTGATCCGTCTGCTCGTTCACCGGCTTATGCCATAACAAAAAAAAAAAATTAAATTTTTCTCGCTCGCAGTGTATGTACCTAACTA